CACTCGAAAATCTTTGTTTTCCTTCATTCGCATCTGTTAAGGTTGATTTGGCCCAGAAGCAGTTAAAGAGCTGTTCAAATTACGTGAAACCTGCAGAGGAAGTAGAGCTGGGTTAGCAAAATTCTTGTTTGTTGTGTAGTTGTTACATTTGAGAGCCATTACAGTCGTTTAAAATTCGAGACTAGAGGAGAACGTATTTATTTATAGCTTTCGTTGGATAATTTAAGCAATATTTAACTAATCTTTTGAGCTGCCCATGGCCACTGCTGAGCAAGTTATACAGTTAATTTTTAAAATTATTTGATTTATTCTTTCATATAAGATTTTGAAATGAAGAATTTCTCTGAAAATACCTTATAAATTCTCACTAACTTGAATGCTTGATGACTCCATAAGTGCAATAAGTAGAATGATTTACTGCTCCGCCAATATTCACGGAGAGATTAAAATTAAAATTTTGTATGTGCTGTCGAACCCAGCCTACGAATATTAAAGCATTATGCAACAATCAAAAATAGTTCAACGTATATTTGTGGCTGGGAGTATGCAATAGCAGCCATCCATGCCTGTGGGTTCAAGTTAAGTGGTTGACCAACAAAACAAACATTATATGCTGCGAATAAAAAAGTTTAGCTTGATTTATTTCAATGTTAAAACTTCGTTGAAACTATTTAAATTGTTACCTGTATAAAATAATGTGCTTGGGAATTTATTATGTACGAACAACTAACTACAAATGCAACAATGCGCACATACACATTCACATTCATGTACAGTTTAAGTACCCACACAACAGCTTGCTCTCCGCTCGGCTTAACTCAGCTTAATGGAGGAATGTACGCTGACACTCTTCTTCATACTAGGATAAATATGTAATTCACATGTATGTGCTTTATACAGGTAAAACGTACTTTCATTTAAAAATTAAAAATCTCTGTGTGCTTGTAAACGCAAATCTCCCTTCCTTATAAGTTACAAATCTGTGGTTGACTGTGAGTGCCAAGCCGGTCAACGAGTACAATTGTAAAGGTGATTAAAGGTTGCCCTTTGTACACCTCTTCCATGTTGGTGAGAAAGGGAGTGGATGGCAAATTACGAGCAGCTGGGGAGCTGAGTTGAGGGTGCAGAATTTTGAGTAGAAGTTTAAAGTTTGAATGTCCATCTGTCGGCAAGTAAAAGCTCATTTAAAGAGCGTATCATGATTTTATCTACTAATTGTTTGAAATTAAATCTTTTTTGATTTCATCAAATGTTTTGAATTCAGCATCGTGGATGTAAGAATAAATTTTTTATTTTTAGAAATATCTTTAAAACTAAGAACAGAATTTATATACACGTATTTAAAAGATAACGTTAATCTCTACTAACTACAACTTGGTTACTGCTGGATGTTATAGCAATTTGGTTAAATATTTTAGTTGGAAATCTTTAAGTACTTTTACGAGAATTTTTGAATTTCGCCGGTTTGGGGAGTCTAATTGCCGAAACCTTTTATTTTTTTATATCTTAGTATAAAATCCCGTGAAGTATGATAAAACTTTCAACGGCTTGCAATGTTGACTTTGCCTGTTACAGTTGCTAGATCTCACGTATTTTTATGACCTCAGAGAACTCGTTTGCTAAGTGAAACGGATGAAAGAATTTGAATGAAAATTTACATAGAAAATAATGGAATAAAATTAAATGGTATAAGTGTGTTTCCAGGAAGGCCGTGAAGGCGTTGAAGATGGCAAATGCCTGGACGCCCCAGAACATCAACAACTGATGAAAACGAGGAAAAAGTAAAAGAAATGGCTCTGAACGAACGCCTAAGCACAATCAAAGAAGTCGCTGATGATGATATCTAAACATTTTTCCCAATGTTTTGGGTATGACACGCGTCATTCATTGTGTCCTTCGGCATTTTGGGATACGGCATCATGAATTCCTGCCACCTGGTCAAAATTTTTTTTTATAGTGAAACAAGGAAGTGAAGAAAATCGCGAGCAGTTAACTTGCCTTCATTACAACAGTGATAAGAAGAATCCATTTCCGTAATAATTCCTTAATACATATAATTAGATATAATAATGCAAGAATTAAAATATCAAATGAAGCAGAGCTGTGGTAAGATGAAGACGAGTAACCAGCTGTTTTAATATAACCGTTGCTTTGCGGATGTAGATTTCTTATAATTTGCAAACCAAAGGAACAAAATCGTTGGAAATGGAAGGTTTGATTTCAGAGAATTACAGAGTTATATAATTTTTACAAATATATATAGTCGTAAGCGTACTTAGCTAATAATTGCTTTTTTGCTGCTGCTATTACTGCAACCGATAATCATACGAGTATTTTTAAGCAATAAAAGTTTAGTTTTTGTATTTTCGTTATTGCCATCTATGTATATCGTGAGTTTAGGCAAAATTGTACAGCGTTATTTCTTGGTTTTTACCTTTTCTTTTTTTAATTTCTTTATATGTAGATTATGGTTAAAATGTTTCACAATATTTATGGTAGTATTTGGTATTTATGGCGGAACTCATGACTAATATCAAACCGCTACAACAACAACAACTAATAACAGTTGTTGTTTAGCTAATAGTTGTTTACACGTGTGTTACAACAATCAATTCAATTATTAAGACTTGGCAACCTAAAAAATGAAACATATTGACTTGTACTAGTTATTTAAGCTTCCAATCTACTAAACTCTATTATTGCGAAAATACAATTAAGTATTGAATCAGATTATCCACTAAAATAAAAAGCAGCTGCACACAAATTTATATGCATGGGCGATAAAAGTTAATGACATTGCAAACTAATTAGTGCGGCATGTAGAGTTGGCTAGTTAATAGCTACGTGCACCACTCTACAATTGCAAAATTACAAAAATATACAGCTTTCCATGAATTGAAAATTTATTTGGTTAACGGTAATATTGAAAAAGTTTTAAATGTGCAAGTAGCGCTAATTAAATATGTTTCGCATATCCAGCAGCGCAAAAATTCACTAAAATTTTGTGTAAAATGCATAATGTTGTATTTAAATGTGTACGCGTGTATGAGTGCCGCAGCATGAATTTATTATTTTTGGAAAAGATGGAGATTGGCATATAAACTGAAATATGCAAATTGGTGTACGTGCAGGAAATAAGCAAATAAAATCGATACCGCTATTTATGAGGTCCAAACGATCTCTTCATCTGCACAAATATAGTGTAAAGTTTTTTTGTTGAATAACAGGCTTATCCATTTCTTGGTTTCCAAAGTACAGAACTGTATTTTGACTTCTGTCAAACTCAGCTGCCAAACTAAACATGCTTTGTTTTACTTAAAAGTCAGAGATTTATGAAAATGGATTGCTTAACAACTGCACAACACGTACACGTTTCATGCTGCTTGGAGCTCCCGAGAATCCTCAAATAATTGAAGCAGGGCTTCCATTCAAAAAAACTTACTGTCTCATGCACTCTTCGGTCCGGAGAAGTGATTAGATTTTACTTCCCTTGTAATACGACAACGTCGAGACTGTCACTGAACTTAGAGCGTTATGGTCGTATGATAACCAACTCTTTTTGGCCTCCAATTGAGGATCACGACTTGGGCAATATGTAATTTGAAATGGCCACCGAGATCATGCAATTCGGCTCGCCACTTTTCTGCGAACCCACTCGAAATACCGGTTTTATATGGACAAATCTTTAAATTTTGAACACATGAATTCGACATTTGCCAAGGTTCTCAGCCATACCGCCTAATATTTACCAAAAAGTTGTCGAACATTTTTTCAAATGGATCGAAGTTTGAAAAACTTGAAGGTTCAAACATTACAATTGAAATGAAATTTCATGGAAAAATTATTTTAAATGCATTTTATTTACCGTTATATTCGAAACCACAGATATGTTAAAGACCATTCAAATCTCTTTTAAATTTCTTTAATAATATTTGCAATCACCAATTAGAAATTAAAAGCGATATCATTTCTTGTATGATGTTAGATGGAAGCTATTTATTCATACCTTATATTCTGTATGTATGACCCGAATGTTCGAATTTACTCAAAAGTTACGTATACGCACTGTCATACAATGAAATTGCGTACCATTGTAGGCATCTACCTATTAATACGTGATTTGACTAAATAACTTCACATGCTTCAAGGAAAGCATCTCAGAACAAACTAGCATTTACTGCCATCGCTTTTTAGGAAATCACAAATGATAGCTTAGCTATTTGGCAGGATAATGCCGGTATGTATGTGTGATTTTAATTTTCTTTTAATTAAACAAACGTCAAGTCAAGCTTAATGCCTTTCAAAATAGATAAATTTAATTAACCAAACATGAGTAGAATATTAAATAAGAAAGATACAGCAACTTAACGATGTAAAGTATGGCATATATGTATTCATGACCTGTATACAAAATGTGAATAGTTTGAAAAATGAAGATATAGTGATATAATGAATAAACAATATTCTGTTCTGTGATTGTATTGTACGTAGCTTAGGTGATTGGAAACTCATCCATGGAATGAACTTTGGAATTGTGTACACATAAATCTCAATATGTTCATCTATATGAATGTATAAAATATTAAAATGAAATTTTTGCTTCAAAATTTATTAGCTTTTTATCGCGTATTATTCTGTGACTTCAGAGAAGATTTGGAGGATTATGTAAGAGCGTTATTAAACTCATTTATTTTTTTCAATAAAATTACTAATAGCTTGCAATTTAATGATACAAGGCAGAGGTTCTCAAGGAGAACTTAGTGTGACTACAAGGATTAAGCTTTCAAACTTTCCGCCTAAGTCTCACCTTAAAGTAGTTAGGACTGAAGCTTCAGAAGGTTTTGATTACGAAGTGATCGTAAACGTATAAATTATTTATATTTATTAATCTTTTCATTAAAATTTATAGTTTTAATCGTTGAATTGTTCTTTAATTCCATACCAATAATTTCTTCTTTGTGTTTTCCTTTTTACAAGAGCAAATTATAATTATACCTTACCTGCATGGAACGTCGACTGGAACCGCTATTCGAACGGGATAGCATTGGTGGTCGACGTTTAGTGGCACCACGTCCAGCCAATAAATTATTCAGCAAAGATGGAGAACGAGCACATATAAAGGCGTGGAATGATGAGACGGTAAAAACGCCCAATTTGTTCAAAGTATTCTTAGTTGGTCGTGACACGTGTGTAAGTAACGACTGGAAGAAAAATGGAATTTATGAAAGTTTAGTCAACACATAGAGAAATGTTATTAAAATAGTAAAAGTGTTTTATTTCTCGGATATAAAATCTCGCAAATCTCAGTCTACATACAATGAATGAGAGTCGTTTGCATCGACGGCACTGAACATTTTTCTAAATTTATTTACACTGTCATAGAGGTTGCAAGTTACTAATAGCTGCTTCTTCAGATTGAATACAATGTACAAATCTCAATAAATTTTATAGTTTTATTTGCTTATACTGATGTTGGCGTTTTCTAATTCTCATAGCAGATAGATTTTTTATTTATGCTATGATTATTAGAATTGTGCCATCACTCTGTCTCATAAAAGCCAAGACATAAATATGTCTTTTTATATATAGAGAACATGATTTCCTTATAACACACATTCAATGATATTTTAATTTGCAATTACTTTAACGCCAGATTTGTTTTCATTTGTTAAGAAGTCTAGTACACTGAGATAACTTCTACACCGCGCCCTTACTTTTAATTGTCACCTGTTTTTTAAATAGATGTCCGTAAGTACTTAACTTGCATGTATGAGCTTGTACTAAATTACACACAAAGGTAAATATTTACATTTGAAAACATAACACATTCCCACTTACTAAGCAGCAGAGTCAAGTACTGAGTGTAAGGCAAATATCCTACGGGAGAAAGCTCTTCATGCTTCTCAGTATGGAGTAAAAGCAGCAAACAATAAAGGAAGTAAGCAGCTTTCTATTTCAACACAAGCGTACAAAGCTAAACTCTTTTCAACTCGTCGAGCTTCTCTGCTGCTGTCTGTCATCTGTCTGTTTGCCTAATTGTATGCAAGTATGTATATGTAGGCATGTGCGTGTGTATTTGTTTGCCTGACTGTTAATAATAAATCATACCGACGCCATCAAGACTGTCATTTGGCTGCATATTGTCGGTGTTACAATACTTTGGACTGTTATTTTTTTGGTTTTTATCCCACTCGTTATCCTTGCCACTCACACACACATTTGTGCATAAGTAGCTATGTGAAATGAGCGTGCAATGCATAAAAAGGCAATCGCTTGCCACACCAACAGCCACAAAATTCCCTTACATATTAGTATATACGTATTTACAATGAATAGCTACAACATAGCAAAGGTGAGTGTGTATAAGTCGAGTTGAGTGCAAAAATGGAGCTTATAGTGGAGACCTGACTCTTGACTAACTGTTTTCTGTCTGTCACGCTTAACATGAATGAATGTGCGAAAATATTCTGTCTTTCAAATACAGCTGAAGGTGGAATGTAGACAGCAGCTGCATTAGTTTTCTTGATTGTAGGGCTTGCACGTCTGTATGAACGACTACAGCTGTTGATGCTCGCGCTGATATATTAGTTATGCCATTTAAGCTGGCGGTGCTGCTGAATGTGAATAAATATTTTTACATCAGATCAAAAAGGCGCTCACACACTTTTTTGTTTGCAGTTTTGCTTCGATGTATTTATATTTTAGTGAAGTTATTCATATGTCATGTGAACTTATAAGGGAAGCAGTTAAATTGGAATTTACAGTTTTTTGAATTACTCACCGTAGTTTTATTTTATATTCTATTGTAATATATTGTAATGTGATATATTATATTTTACTGCATGAGATTGCTCTAACTCGCTCTTAACCGTATAAATCATTGTCTGATTCTTGAAATGTCATTATGGATAACCATTACAGTTGAGTAAATGCCAAATGAAAAGTCAAAAATTTGTCAGCCTTATAAAAAAGTATAGTATGTTTATTCTGCTGGTGAAATAATAAATGCCGAGGACGGACAGCGAAATAGATGTGAGATTTGTGAGCTCTCTATATATAATTTTTGAGTTGAGTTATTATTGCTGAATATAAGTTTGCACCACCCAGAGTCATTATGTATCACCACGCATTCTAAAATAAGTTTACTCACTTTGGGATTTGGCAATTCACCACTCTGCAACGACGCCATATAGCAACGTAGGCGGAACTGTTCACAATGTAAACGCTCCAAATTTTCCTCCCACTGTAGAATTTGTGTTTGTATTTGATGGCGTGTATCTTGGTCGGTGACTACCGATTGCTGCAGCTCAGCCATGTGCTTCAACTTGTGGTCCTGCAAAAAATGTAGAGGTGAAAAAGAGCAAATGTTTAATGCAATGTCGGCGCCAAATCAGTTGAAATTGCATGGAGTAAATAAAAAAAATGCGTTGCTATTTGTTTTTAATAAGAAATAGAAAAACAGTCATAGCAGTCAAATAATCATGGGTAAGAGCAATAGGGCCGATATTTAATTTTGTATTCGCAATAACAGATAAAGTTATTGACGTGCGAGAATAGGAAAATATGCAAAATAACATATTACATATGCATTTAGCAGGAATGAAGTTTTCAATCTGAATTACTTCCTTCTATTCCCGTTCATCGTGGCCGCGGTAGCTGAGTTAGCAATACCTATTGCCATTTGGAAGGACCGGGTTCCAATCCTGGTACGACTAACATCGGAAAGTTATAGAACATTTTTTTAAATAAAAAAAATTTTTAATTGCGGTCGCCCCTCGGCAGATAATTTCAACCCCTCCGAGGGTATTTATCGAATATCACGGGCATGTACATAAGAGTTGATAGGTGAACTTAATTTGGGCTTTTACATTCTTTGGCAATTTCAAGAAGAGCGGTTCATAGGATATGAATCGAATATTTTCTCTTTTTCTCAGACACTCAATGAGGTAACCTTCTATCGATTAGTCATAATCCAGACATCTAAAATTAACCTAAGCCAAGCTCGAGAGTGGTTCAACGAACAATTTAATGCAACGCTGCCCCACATTTTTATAGCACATCAAATTGATCTCAAGCGCAACATAAATCCATTTTCAATTCGAAGATCAGTTTGACATAACTCTATACAATTACGTTAACAGATAACATAGAGTAAACTAAAACTGAAAACAACTTAAACCGATCTTAACTCAAAGTACTGCTTAGATAAAAACGTCTAGACTCAACTCAATTCAATTTAACTTGGCTCAGCTAAGTTTAGATCAGCACTGCTCAAAGCAAGTTAACTCAATTTGACCAATACCACGTCACTCAGTTTAACCTAGCTTAAACACAGTTCTAGCCTATGACGAACCTATTTTTCATTTTAGATAAGACTTGTGCAGAGTTGTGGAAGATACCCAAAAAACTATTCTTCTCCATCTTATTAACCTCAAGAATCAGTGAGAGTTCCGAAAGTAAACCGAAAGCTGTGCGAGCAGCTTATGACAAGATCGTCGTTCGTAAAATTATTAATCTAAAGTATGATTATCTCCCTTAACCCTTGACTTTGATTTCACGATTGCTTAAGACCATTTCGGTTGGCTGACTTCACAGTTTGCAACAAAACTCTCCCTTCCTTACAAAGTGCCGGTATTCGGCACCATGACAGGAAAGTTTGCTGTACCAAGCTTTGTTAGAAAAAATCTCAAGATTCAATTCAGAAGAAATATGTATGTATATGCAACAAAGAAGTTGGGAAAATGGAAGTCAATCACACACACCTATTTAACAAACACGCCACAACATTTTTACAGACTAAACTTCACTTTCTGCTTAACTGTCAAAAGCTTAGGGCCGAGGCAGCGTTTCGCTAGGGTAAAGTTAGGGTGGACAGATTGTTACAAACAAGGCAAAGTTGCCGTAAATGATACCACAAATGTGATAAACTTGACAAAGGCACAACAAACAAAAGAAAAATGATAATAATAATAAAACAAAAATATAAAAACAATAGAAATGAACAGAAAGTTAAATAAAAAGTAGAGTAAAGGAGTAACGGCGGCGGCAACAAATGCGACAGGTCGGCATTTGTGGCCGAGAAGAAATAATTGTTGGTGCGGTGGCTGGCAGTAGCTTCGGCACGTGAGTAATTATATAAAATGTATGCACATATGAGGGATAACACATAACATGCACATGTGCACATAAGCCGAGTAGTTCGTTAGTCATACAGCAATCCCAACTCTTACTGGGAATTATAGAGCTTTTTAGGTTTTGCATTTAAACGTTTCGTTATTTCTCCGAAGGGAAATAAAGGCCAACGGAAACCGAATGCGAGACGCCAATATATTGTATATGCACATATGCACGTGAGATTGTTGTTGTACTGGGAACAGAAAATATGCGAGAAAATCATTACTATGTATTGTATTAGGCGTTAAGGGATTGACAAAAGGAAGTGAAAGTTCTTTGGCAAAAGAAAAAAAATAATTTGGTGAATGACCTCATGTACAACATATACAAACATAACATATGTACATATGTGTATGTGCAATGTTTTTTCTCCTTTTTTGGGATAATTCGGGTTTGTTTTCTATCATCAAAGAGAAGATAAATTCGTGTGCTTGTTTATGTTTTTCAGGATATAGATTTTTATTTCAACTGAATTTCCAAGCTGCTTTCATTCAATTCGATATTGAGCCTTATGGGTTGGAACGCAACTTTGGTTATTGGTTTTGGAATTTTTATTTTGAACTGAACTTCAACAACAAGTCCTTCGCTTAACACTATCTTCAGGAATACGAAACATCCATCTCAGTGGAGAGAGCTATAGAAACAATTTTAGCCATCAGAACAAAATTAAATATAAAGAAATACTAAATATTTAGACGTTAAGAGAAGATTTGCACATTCATATTAATATGTATACACATACATTTATGTATACACAACTGTTGCCTAAGCACTGCCATGGTGCCACAAAGCCAACTGCTGAGATGATGATGCTGATGCCGATGGTAATGGACGACAACGCGTTGTAGCTGACAAAGCATCGAGAGTACAAAAAAGAAATATTATCTTTCTTCCACTTGCAATAGCAGAAGCTATTAGCAGCTGTGGTAGAATGAGCTGTTAACTGTCTGTCTACCTTCTTTGCAGGGTTCCATCGGTTCCGCCGGTTCCCCTTTCTCCTGTTGCTTCGACTCCTTATTCTCGCTGATTGTCAAAATGACATGAAACTGTTGTTGACACTTGGTTGCCTTCGCTGCCTTCGTAGTATTTCAAGTTTATACAGAGTTGGAAATAGTTCTGATGCTGAGCGGTAGGAAGACGAAACTGTGAGTTAATATGAATGCATGTCGTCGTGACATATCCCGTATTTGCAGCTACAAGTGCATTTTTCTAGACAATATTTTCTCTCGCTTTTCCCTATTAGTTTGCTACAAAAGTTGCTGCTTTATATTATTATAAATATGTGTGTTTGTGTATATATGTGTATTTTGACTTGATGGAGTTTGTCTTTTAAGGATGTGAAAAATGTTGGCATCAAGCACTTAAAGTTCTACGTAGAAATCTTGTGTAATGCGCCTAACTAAGTAACTCAACTTCCAGAACTTAGTGGGATTCTTACTTAGTTTATTTTTGTTTTTCCCTATATTTTTGTGAAGTACCTTTTCGGTGCTTGAAGTTGAAAAAATTTTAATTAGTATTTCTTAAAAACTGAGAAACTTTTGATTAGTGGAATTTGCCAGAAAGTTAATTCATATTTTTTACTCTAAAGTTAAATGTATTTGTGTATATGTGGAAGAAAACATTGATGCGATAATCACACATTAATTTATTAACAACAAATGGCACGATTTATGAATTGGCGCTTTGCGAGTTCTTTTTCTTTTTATGTTGAGTGTTTTTTCCCAAAAATGGAAACCACCTCTGAAGGACTGATGGATTTTTATGAAAAGCTTTTACTTCATATCAGAAATGCACTCGCAGGGGTTGACAATTCACTGCGGTCGTTTTCTTAGTTGAACACGAGAATTGAAATTGCGTTATAAATTAAGCACAGACTTTTTGAAATCGTTGTTTATACTTAATGAGGAGAATGAGACACACATTCATACTGGCTAAATCTCTGCGCTTGCTTTGAAGGCAAAAGAAAAGTATAATAAGAGTTTACATATTGCAGGAAATGTATATGTATATGTTTGAGTGGTTCGCCACCGAATTACATCCTACTGATGTGTCTGCCCAGTTTCTCATAACCTCATCATAACAAAGGTGCCTTCTTAACTTATTTGCTAAGGAGATACAGAGGTTAAATTCATTATAATATTGAGTCCTTTTTCTGTTTCTGCAACGTGAGTAGTAGAAAATCCAAAAACATATTTGGATTTATTTTATATTTTCTTAAGATCAAGTGAAACATTTTCGGTATGACCTAATTCTAAATAGTAAATGACCTTGATGTATATAAAAAGTGAATTTTGTTTCTCTAATTCTCCCTAAGCATAACATATGTAATGTATCTTTATCTATCCCGGACGCTGTGGTCAATCTTCTCGATAAGTTTCAACTCATCTAATCTGTCTCGAATATTTCTATGTCTATTATTGAAGTTTCTAAATTGGGAGAAAGAGTTTTTATTCACTTTAAATTCGTTCAATGTTAGGCAATAATTAATTTTATTAAGTGATTCTACCGACAGATAGTACCCGAGCTCCAATTTGATTTCATTACCATTGTTTAAATTGCTCCTGTTCTTGTTATTATGCATAATTGTTGTGGATTTGAGAGTCGCTTTCAGTAACAAAAAAATAGTAAAATAACAGTGAAACGGTGGAAAAATATATTATTTTTGGTTGTTTTTTTTTTTAAGTTGCCACCGACAAAGTTTTCACGTCCGCTTATACATAGTTTTCTCGCTGGCGGAAAATTGAGTGTGGTCGTGAACCGTGCCGCTCATTGCTCCCATAACTTTTAAAAATTGTGGCTTTTGTTATAACTTTAGTTGTAGTTTTTTGGTCGCTCAAAAAAGGAAACATAAAATAAAATACAAAGGCGTGGAATCGATGAAATATTCAATAGTTGATGCAGCTACCAGGAGTGAGTTTCTCGAGACTTTTTTTTACGGCAGTTTGTTGTTTCTCTTGCAGCTGGTTGATGTCGCCGCAAAGCGTAAAGTAAGCGTAAAACGCTTTAATTAGTCACTCACTTCTACATTGCTCGTGCTTTATTTTCTGTTTTTTGTAACCTTTCCTTTTGATTATATTTTATTTCGACAAATTTTTTGTTCTGCACTGTTGCTCAACTTTTTCTCCAATGCTCCAATGAAATTTTTTAATTACCACTCGA